CCAGTTCTGATGCCAGCCTGCTGAAGTTTGTGTTGTTCTCTGGATTCTGGCACCTCTAGCGCAAATTATATAAATTGGCACCTCATGCGCCGCTTCTCTGTAAAATGATGCCTCTTGTGTCAACTCTCTGGAAAATGGTGCCTCCGACACCAGTTCTAGGCCCTCTAGCTCTAGGATGCTGAAATGCTCTGTATTGACTCCAAATTTCTTCCTTTTTACTTCTCTTTGCTCCAATTGCCTAAAATCGATAGAGCTGCAACAAAACATGAAAATACCCTTCTTTAAAGTGCAATATCACCAAATAATTATAAAATGAATACATAAAATTGCACATTATTTTGGTGTATCATATCCCATTAGTCCGTTTGTCTTACGTAGACATCAAAAAACCCATGAACCATCAATGCTTCATCTGGGGGAAATAAATCTTATATGATCTACCATGATCAACAGAATTTACAACCTTCCCGATCTCCTCGAATGTGATTATGCTAGCTTTCTATCTTTTAATTACTGAGAGAAAATAGACTAATTGACTGACTCTATTTCTTTGTAGAAGATTAGATTTATCGATGAGGAGGAGAGTATTATCAACTTCTCACTCATGCACCATAACCCCACATCTTGAGTCTGACACTACTTCATTGTAGCCCATTTTATCCCCACCACAAGCCTTATTGATTTCACCAAGGATTCAAAGGTCTTGAATTTCTAAATTCAGGCAAGGAAGATGATGGATGCAGGACTAGTGATTTACCAGTCCATATACTACAGAGCTAGTGACCAAATCATTATAGTTTAGGCTAGCCCACACTCATCACTACCCTATACGGGAATAAGGGAATTTTTGGAGTGGATGATAAGGGGTTACTACATCCATAGAAATCGATCATCGGGGATTTTTTATTTTCTTATGGTTTTGCGCCAGTGGTTTCTCACATACATGGAGAGAGTTTCTCACAACGTCATTAGATGTCATATCCCTTCCTCCATGATCAAGTTGATTGAGGAAATGGAGGCATTGAAGACCACTCAGGTTGTCATGGAGTCGGAGCTTCATAACTTGCACGAGTAGCCATAGAACTATGCCACCCAGAACTAGCACCAATATGAGAACATGCATCGGGGCTTATCATTTTGCAGGGAGAACACTCAACCACATTCTACTCATCACTGTCACTATTCCAAATTTATGGAAGATGAGACGAATAGATGGATGATAGTGATAGTGATGAGTAGGGGAAGTTGAATTGTTTTATTTTTATATTTTTTTGACTTGTGTATGGATTATTTTTTTATGTGGAGTTATGCTACTTTTATGATATGATGTGCCCTTGTGATCTCCTATACTTGCTAGAGCTTCAAAAGTGTTTTTATTCACTTTTGGATTTTTTATTGTATTCTCGTTATATGTGAAATGCAATGCATCTTATTTCATGTGCTATTTTACATTACCTTCTCTTACTTGTTTCATTTGGCTAAGTACATTCTTATTTGGCATGGATAGTATAAAAAACATGTTTAGGGAAGGGATCGATGCATATAGACTTGTAGTTAAGTAATTTTTATATTGGACTTGTAGACTTTACTTTTTCAGTAACGACTCATGTTAGGTATCCTGATGATTTAATGGGTCATACAATAACATCATTAGAATGTGAATAGTCATTAAAGGGAGATTTAAATGAGTCTTACACTTTTACAACCTTTAATTGAGCCTAAAAGCCTCAGAATATTTTAAAAGGTGTAATTTAAATATTAACAGTTAACCAAAGATATTTTAAATCATTTAGTTGTTAACTTGACCAAGTTAATTGTGTCAAAACTTTTGACTAGATTATAATATGTTGGGAATTTATATCAACAAGAATTCGAGACTTGTCAATTAGGAGGAATTGAATATTCAAAATGTTTAAAAGAAATGGGCTCCACCAATTATAATAATTCTTAATGGAATTAAAAAAATAGAAAGAAAAGAAAAAAAAAGGTTAAAAAGTGTTAAATGCCATATTTAAAAGAAAAATAAGGACACTTGGCTAGAAGTCCTTGAGAAAAAAATTGAGGTGTGCCTATAAACTAAAAAATGGTGTCCAAGTTATCTCTTAAATAATAAGATTTGAAACCTTGGTGTGGTATGAGATAGCTAGCTTGGGTCTAAGCCAGCTCTAGGCTAGCTCATGTTAAGTAGTGTTAGGTTTTATTTGGATCAAATTTGCTTGGGTTGACCTGGTTTGGCTTAAATTTGACATGGGATAAGCTGGGTTAACACATGTTAGGTTAGGTTTGTTTAGGTTTAACCCGGGTTAAGTTTGGTGGACCTTGGTTAGGTTAGGTTTGATTTAAGTTTAACCTGGGTTAAGTTGGATTACCTGGGTTGGCTTTAGTTTGATTTGAGTTTAGCTCAAGTTAAGCTAGGTTGACTCAGGTTAGGTTTGGTTTGATTTAGGTTTGGCTCGGGTTAAGCTGAAATGACCTAGGTTGGCTCAGGTTTGATTTATGTTTGACCCAGATTATGCAGAGTTGACCTGCATTGGCTTAGGTTTGGTTTAAGTTTGACCTGGTTTAAGATGAGTTGAACCGAGGTGGCTTACTTTCTGTTTAAGTTTGACCCAGTTTAATTGAGGTTGACCCGAGTTAGGTTAAGTTTAGTTTGGATTTGACCCAGGTTAAAGTTGGTTGACTTGGGTTGGCTTAGGTTTGGTTTAGGTTTGACCTGGGTTAAGTTGGGTTGACCCAGGTTGGTTGAGGTTTGATTTGGGTTTGCCCTAGGTTAAGCTGGGTTAACCCAGATTATGTTAGGTTTTAGGTTTGGGTCAGACCTTGGTTAGGTTTGGGGTTTGAGATAGATCTTAATTGTAGCAGACCTATATTAGGTGTAAGGTATGGGTTAGGTCTGAATTGGGTCAGATCTGGGTTGGTTCTAGTTTTGGGTCAAATCTGGGTTTGGTTAGGCTAGCGTTGGTTTTTGGTTTTGGGTCAGACTCGGATCAGGTTAAGGGATTGGGTCAGGTCTGTGTTTGGTCAGATCTAGACTTGGTTTATAGTTTGGGTTAGTTTTGGGTTGGGTTAGATTTTGGTTCTATTTACAGGTCCGGGTTGTGTCAGACTTGGGTTTGGTTTAGGGTATGGGTAGGTCTGGTTTGGCTCAGGTCTTTGTTGGGTCAGGTCTGGGTTAGATTTAAGGTTTGGATCAGGTCTAAGTTGGATGAGGCTTGGATTAGGCTTGGGCATAGGTCAGGTCTGAGTTGGGTCAAACTTGGGTTAAGTTTACGGTTTGGGTTATATCTGGGTTGGCTGAGACCCAGGTTAAGTTTAGAGTTTGGCTCAAGTCTGGGTTGGGCAGACCTTGATTAGGTTTAGAGTTTGGGTAAAGTATGGGTTGGGTCAAACCTGGGTTAGGTTTAGGGTTTGGGTTAGGTCTAGATTGAGTCAAAGCTGGGTTAGGCTTAGAGTTTGGGTTTGGTTTGGGTTAGGTCAGACCCGGGTTAAAGTTAGGGTTTGGGTTGAGTCAGACTTAGGTTAGGTTTAGGGTTTGGGTCTGTTTTGGATTGGGTCAGACCTGGGTTAGGCTTAAGGTTTGGGTTGGGTCATATCTGGGCTGGGTTTAGGGTTTGGGTTATGTCTAGGTTGGGCAGACCTGGATTAGGTTTAGTGTTTGGGGGGTTTAGGGTTTGGGTTATGTCTAGGTTGGGCAGATCTGGATTAGGTCTGGGTTGGATCAAACCTGTGTTAGGTTTAGGGTTTGGGTCAGGTCTGGATTGGTTCAAACCAGGGTTAGGCTTAGGGTTTAGGTTTGGGTCAGGTTTAGATTGGGTCAGACCTTGGTTAGGCTTAGGGTTTGAGTTTGGTATGGGTTGGGTCAGACCAGGGTTGAATTTATAGTTTAGGTCAGGTTTGGGTTGGATTAGACTTAGATTAGGTATAGGGTTTGGGTCAGACATGGATTAGGCTCAGGGTTTGGGTCAGCTCTGGGTTGGGTCAGATCTGGGCTGGGTTTAGAATTGGGGTTAGGGTTTGGCTAAGAGATTTTGGTTAGGTTGGGTTTGGGTCAGCCTGAGCCATACCAAAACCCAAACTGAATCCAAGGCTATTGAGTTAATTTAACAAAACTAAACATTATGAAAATTAGTTTTTAAACCAAAACAAGGAAAGACAGAGGAGTTTACTGGAGGGGTGGAGGAGGCCGACTGGAGAGGAGTAGGCTTGCCAGAGATTTCTTCTTCTTCTTCAGAGCTGTGGAGTCCTCGGTCGTAAGTGTGTTTTCTGAGGAGTGCTGGTGGTGGCCTATTTATAGGCTCATAAGGTGGAGCCCTCCAAAGCTGACCGATTGGGTGGTGCATTGACGGTGGAGATCGCCCGAAAATTAGTGAGCCACGGATCGCTGCCTCAAGAAAATAAATAGAAGATAAATTTTCGAAGTGTTTAAATTTTTCATTCTAGTTTCTTTTCAATATAATTAGAATTTGCCTAATTGATGTAAATTCTAAATACACTATCTATGTGAATAAGAACTCATCGCTATTGTCACTTGTTTTCATTGACGCCACAGGCCACCACCTATCACAACTAATCTTTTTTTATCATTGATAATTGATATTGTTGGCTACCACTTACCATTATGCTACTATTGCTATTGCTGTAACAGTTGATCGACCATCACCAAACATTATCCTTTGCCATTGCAAGCCCATCAACTGCTTACCCGCTTTTGTGAGCAGCTATTACTCATCACTAAGTAGAAGTTATCATGGATACAATTATTTGGAATACTTCATAAGCACTCATACAAGTTATCATGGATACAATTATTTGGAATACTTCATAAGCACTCATACATAATAAAATCAAATAATCTTTTTTCTGATAAATATGAACAAAATATTAAATATGAACAAATTATTATGTGCAAATGATTCCATTTAAAGTATTATTTAGAAAACTTCAAGAGTTCCAATTACTTTGCAAATAAATAGCACCTTTACTACTGCTAAAGCAAAATAAATTGCTCACATCATCCATAAATATTTTCTTCATGCGAATTAAGTGTTTCTCCCTTCAATATAATCCTACTTCAACTAATAAGCCCTAACGTTTCAGATTTGAACTTGTTGTCAACAAACGACGGGAATCGCGAAGGATCAGTGATGTGGGGGAGCGCAGACGGGGGACCGCCGGAGGTCACTCTTGAGACTACCATGGGTTCATTCACCGTTGAGGTAAAGTTCTCTCTTTCTTTTCATCTAATCTCGCTCTCTACCATTCTTGTCTCTTGCTTCTCTGGGGTTTCTCTCGCTGACGAATTGTGGGTTTTGGTTCTGTAACAGATGTACTACAAGCACACACCAAAGACATGCCGGAACTTCGTGGAGCTTTCGAGAAGGGGTTACTACGATGGTGTCAAATTCCATAGAATCATCAAGGTGCCCTTCTCTCTTCAGTTATGATCCACTTTATTTTGATGTTCTTATCTTTATTCGGTTTTCTTTCATATGTTGTGGAATAGGATTTTATGGTACAAGGGGGAGACCCGACCAGCACCGGGAGAGGAGGAGAATCCATATACGGGTTGGTTTCTGGTTGCCAAATGTCCATAATGATGGAGCTTGCTTCAAAGTTTAAACTTTTAATAAGTGTTCATTTTGGAGAAACACGGAATTATCCACTTGAGATGAAAGCTACTGGTTAATTCGTCATGAATCATCTAATAATCTTTTTAAATCAATAATATTAGTTGTAAAAAAAAGAATACTAGCAAAGTATTGATAGTCAGCTTCGATTATGAATTGTCTCTTTGATTCCGAACAGTTCTAAGTTTGAAGATGAGATAAGATCTGAGCTCAAGCACACCGGCGCTGGTATAATTTCCATGGCAAATGCGGGTCCAAATACAAATGGAAGCCAATTCTTCATCACACTAGCACCATGCCAATCTTTGGATGGTAAGTGCTGTTGAATATAATCCTATTTGTAGGTATTTTATGTTGAACATTAGAGCATTTGTTTTGTTATGGAGGTATTGACGGTCAAATGTTGACTGTCAGGATACACTTATTAGCGTAATACTGCAACCTGACTCATTTGTTGCCATCTTTCACCTTTTTCCTGGTTAAAATTAGAACTCCAAGGGCCTTTGCCATTATTATTATTATTATTATTATTTATTTTCTGGCATGCTTTTGAAATGCTACATCATTTTAAGATTTTCATGGTTTCCTGGTAGTAGAGGTTAGTTTCTTTGAGCTAGACTGTTGTTTAAAATTACATAATACGAGGCATATTTTAAGGCGTACTTTATGGTTTACTAAGTGAAACGTTTGCCACACATAATATGAGGTGCACCTTGCCTCAGTTATTATGAGGCATGGCATGCACAATCTAAGACTAGATTTGTCCTAACTAATATTACCAAATCAAATACGTAAATCCTTTTATTAAGTAATCCTAATGCCCCATGCGTCCCATTCATAGTATAACCAAACTCAATCCGAGTGCCTCTCTCATTCATCTCCTTCTTTAGTCTACACGCATGCTACCACCACTGCCTTCTCCTTGTTCATTTCTCTTCCACCACATCTATTCTTTTGGTGACAATTCCTAGAGCCTAATTTTTTTCTTTCGTTAATTTAATGTTTTGTTTATCTTAATTGTACCATGTTTTAAATTTTTTTTCAATAATAATTTTTTTTTTATTTGAACATTCTAGGATTTTATAAGAAATGATTAAGGGTAAGGATAAAACCACAATGGATAAAAAAAGACCTAGCATGGAGGCAAATTGCAAGTTGTTATTAAATTGAATAAAAGGATACATGTGTATGTAAAGGGTAATTATCATGATAAGGTTATTGAAGGGGTGTTATAAGAATGAAAGAACATATTTCTAGCTCTTGCACCTTGTGCCAAGGTGTTTAAGGCCGTGAAAAAGGAGATCCATGCATATATGAATAATGCTGCAATATCATAGTTTTTAACACAATGACTATATTATAAATAATAGATATTGGTTCTTATTATAGAAATGGATTTAGTGACAAGTATTCTTTAACTATTTTGCCAGAAATGTCTTATAGAGGTGCAAGGGAATCATTGATGAATGTATGATAAAGGTGGAGGATGATAGATAATTGTGTGAGGGTAGTCAATAGGAAGTCTCTTAAAAATGCTAGAGAGTTGCACTTATATCTCTTTATTTATATTTGAAGATTTTTATGAAAATGCTATTCAATTTAATGCGACAAACTCTTTTTTTTTTTCAATATGGTCTGTTGCATAAGTTCCTATGGTCGAGACTTGAAACCTCCATTTATGTATGATTTATGGGCTTGGGTTTGGATGAGATGAATAACACCAAATAAGTCATTGAGAAGATTAGAAAAACTTGGAATAAGACTACATTGATGATTATATCTAGTGCTTGTTTTGATATGAGGAATGGAAGCTTAATCAATATTTTGATTAAGATTGTCTACAACACTATTTTCTTAAAATATATTGAAGAATCAAATAAGTTTAACAATGTATAGTATTTTTTGAACTTTTTGACTGAGTTATAAAGGAGATTGAAGAGAATCTAGTAGCATACGTTTTTATAGATAATGCTAGTGATTATATGATAGTTTAAAAAAAAAATTGATGGAGAAGAGCCATGTTTGACATATTGTATGGATTTGATTTTATAAACATTGATAATTACTTCAATACGAACTCCTTGAGCAAAACAATGAAGATAGCAAATTTTATCCATATTTAAAATTTTATCCATATTTATTCATAATTTTGGCTTTGATGAGAACATTTTTTAGAAGAGGATTCTTACAACATATAACAGCTTGATTTGCTATCTCCTATTTGTCTTTTAAAAACATGCTCAAGCTATGTTTCTTTCCACACAATTGTTTAATTGTCTTTGAGCATAGAAAGCTGCATGAAAATGAGTTAGAGAGACTTTATTAAATAAAAGCTTTTTGTTACGTGTTAATCATTCAATAGTAACAACAAAGCCATCAGTTTAAGTTTTAAGGATGTTGAATTCAGAGAAAAAATCAGCTATAGGTTTCTCTTATAATGCAATAGATAGTCCAAGGTGTTGGCAACTTTACACTTAGGAGGAGATGAGTTCAGTTTCAAGGAGATTTGGAAAATTTTTGGTGAGAAGTGCGAGTTTCAGCTCCATTATTATTTGCATGTCACAGGATATTACTTTCATAATTTCATTATGCTAAGAATAAGGTGACTAAACTTGATAAATATGTTTATGTCATTGCATGAATAGGTTGATAACTCACTGAATTGAGAGGGCAAATTTTGATATGCAACTTATATTATTTAGAAATAAAGAAGGATTCTTTATACAATTACAAGCCAAAGATATAGTTGCAAAATACTCTCGTTAATTTTATTATTTATTGGTAGAAATAAGGAAGGACTTTCCTGATTTTATTTATTTATTTTCTTACAACTTTAGTTGAATGATGAATTTAGTTTGGCGATGAAACACCATAGGAGAACTTATTTGCCATTAAAATATTTGTACTTAAATGCTCACAATTTAATTTAGAGCGAAATTGGAGTACATATAAACGTTTGAATACCTTACGGATCAACTTTTTGATTTATGTATTATACAACAAGAGATTAAATGATAGAAATTTGAAGAGAAAATATTGATGGATAATGAATATCTTTTTATAATGTCCTTCAATCAAATGATGAACGATTTGTGGATGATTATAATTAACATCATCTGATTTGCAATAAGATCTTAATATTGATTGTTGGACAGAACTAAGACTAATAAGTCTAACACAATCCGATAACAAATAACCATAAATCATATTCATAAATATTTTTATAATTGAAGTTGTAATCATTGAAATAATCATTGTTTTAAAATTTAATTAATATTTTGATTGATTATTGTTAATTAGAGAATTGAAAGATGATTGAGGTTGGAGATGAAGAAGAATTGGAAATTATGGACATAATTAAGGATGTTGTAGGTTAGAAATCAACTCATTATGTATGATGACTCTAATTGCTAGATTCAAACCTATTTGTGGGCAAAACTTAAACTCTACTAATAGGTTTTGTGAGGGTAAAATGATAGAGAAAATTGAGATAGAAATTTTTGCTAGAGAAGCTATTGAGTATTTTATTCACCATGGCAGAGAGTACTATAGATGTCCCCTTTGACTGTGGTTAAAACTATAAATAGGTGCCATTAGTCAAACTTCTTACTTAAAGAATATTTTGATGTAATTTGTAGTGGCATCATGATTTTATTAATATTTAATAATGTGAAATGGTGTTATAATTTTTTTGAAAAACCTTTGGGATATATTTTTAGATAATTTGGGGCCATTTGATGTTTTGAAAAAGGAATATAGAATAAAAGGAATACAGAATAAGGGGAATACATTATATTTGAAATGTTTGAGTTATTTGGTTGGGTGTGAAAAATACTTTTGATTATTTTTTTTTGTGTTTAGTTGATGTAAATGAATTGAATGTAAAGCTGGACAACGGAGGCAACAAACGTGGGTGGTAGGGGTGGTGCTGGGGACAAGCAAGGGTGGCAATGACTGGTGTTGGGTCGTGGCGACTACCGGCTATAGGCGATGACAATGGATGTGGCTTGCAGTGTATTCAGAGAGACCAAATCAGCAGATTTGGTTGCACCATAGATAAACTGTAGGATGAGTTTGGAATTCGCTTAAAATTATATTCTGCATTTCATATACTTTAATTCAAATACCAATGTTTTCAATATCCTGCATTGTAAATACATTACACATTATAAATCCAACCAAATTACCACTTAGTTTTGTTGCTTTTGTTTACCTTTTTTGGGACTGATGTATTAGTTCTGCTGGATGTTGACTCCTGACATCAGGTTTGGTTTATGAAAATGTCTAACTAGATTTACTCCAGTGTAATTTAAAGTTGATATAGAATCTATGATTACGAGTGATATTATATTTTTGGTAACACAGTTTCTCGTGTAGGTAAGCACACAATTTTCGGAAGAGTTTGCAGTGGAATGGAAATTATTAAGCGTCTTGGAAGTGTGCAAACCGATAACAATGACAGGTGATTTATTGCTTTTAGCATGATTTTATTTCTGTATCTTTTTTTTGCCAAACTGTAGTGGTAAATGCCAGGTGACATAAATGGTAATAATATATTACGATCATCTTCTCATCATCCGCATTATTGTAACTACTCAGATTCAGTTTTATAAATCCTTCTTAGCCAAATACTTGCAGGCTTTTATATATACTTTTTTCTTTTATGGAACACTAGTGTGAGGTAGAACCACCCATAATTCTTCATAAAAAGTTCAATGTATTTTTAGATCCCAACTCAACTGAGTTTTTCTCATTACTTGTGAACTCAAAATAGCAATCAGAAGGAAAGTATCAATGAGTTGCAGAATAAATGGAGTAGCCCCATGTACCGGGACAATTTTATGAATATACTGATATAAATATATATTTTGGTCTTTCTATTATAAGAAATGAGTTCTTAATCCTATCTTGTATTAATTGGATAAACGATGTCTTTTGAGGTTGTTTCTTTAGTTTTTGAGCTTGTTGTTCACTTGGCTCAATCCAACTGATCATTACTAATATATATCTAGTTCCTCTATTCTGAAGGATCTCGTCCAATATAGAAATTTTCAGATGAAGAAACTAACTGAATTACATGTTTAGGAGTTGTATAATAAAGAATGAGGTATTGATCTGGATCTATCCTACAGATAAAATTTCTGATAAATTGATTGAATTAAATGTTTCGGTCTTGTATTATAAGGAATGTTATCTTAATCTGGATCCAAATTGATTGGAAAATCATGTCATTGAGTTTGTTTTTTTTTATTGATTTCCTTAGTTTGCTTGTTCTTGGCTAGATCCAGCTTATCAATGCTCTCTAGCCTATATCCAACTACACCCTTCTGAACTAGGATCTCGTCAAACAGAACTAGCATGGGCTGTATATATATAGTATTGGGATCTTTTATTCCTTTTTTTTTCCAGAAAATGAGGTAGAGCTTTTTAATGGGGGAAGTGGTGTGGGGAACATTATTGTGGCTAATCTAATCTTATTTATCATCTAAATCAACGGGTTTTGTATTGGAAGTATCTGGATCATTACTATGGATTTTCGTTAATACTTTTGTAAGCCTGATATATTTTTTGTTATTTTCCTTTTCCATATACTTGCAGTCTACAATTTTGATTTTGACTAGCAAAATTAAATGGAACATGCACTTCTTCCATGACTTTGCAATTGATCTTGACGACTTCATCAAACTCTAGAAGGTTTTAAACTATTCCAAAATGAATGGCCTTGTAGGGCTATTTTTTCCCGTCCATATGAAAGGTTCCATGTATTCTTAAAATTACATCCCTAAAAGTAACAAAATTTGAATTTACACTTGAGGTCCGTTTGGGGCCGCTTTTTTCGAGCGGTGCGGGCCCAAACCGCGAACATTCCCTGTTTGTTTCCTGACTTCGCGACCACACAAAGCGAAAGCGGGCCCTAACTTTCGCCTCGCTAATAATCCAAATTGCCCCCGCTTCGTTTCTGCTCTAGTGTTCATTGCCGAGCCATCTTGCCATTGCCTCGCCTGGTGATCCCAACCGCTCGGCCCTTGCTCCTTTTTCCCCGACCAACAACGAACTAGGAAGCAAGAGGTACGTAATCACAAACCCATCTTCTTCCTTTGTTTTCAATCTCTCCACTTCAGGAAGCAGGAGGTTTCACCATGCTTAATTCTTTTCAGGTACGTAATCACAATTCAGGAAACAGGTGGTTTCACCATGCTTAATTCCCTCCGCCTTTCTTTTTTCTCACCTCTCCACTTCTCTCCTCTCTCCGCGCTGTTGCTAGTACCCAAAATCATTATGTTTTCCTTCCCGAAACTCTCGCATTGCTTTATCTGAACCTATGTTTTACCTTCTTCTTAAGTTCCAATCATTAATTTCTGTCATGGGGAGATACAGGAATTGCCAGGCTTCATATCATGTAAAGTGTTGTCATTTAAATTGCCAAATATCGTGTAAGAAGTGAAGGCCCGCAGAACTGCTTAATGGAATTGTATACAGTAAAGCATGAAGATGAAAAAGAGATAAGGTTGCTAGCTGTGCTGTTTGATATTCATTTACCTGGCCAATGCGGTAAGAGAGATGATTACAAATATATGGGATAGGAGGAAGACTCTAGACAGGCAGTGATGTTAAGATTTCAGTAACAATTTTACTTCTTTCTGTAGGAAGATGAAATTACTATACATTTGTGTAACAATTAGGGAGAGGTGATGCATTGTTTATGTTGGTGGCCTTGAAGATCTTGGCCTCAGTAATAGGATGAACATTAAGGAAATGGTTGATAGAAATTTTAGTTACAGGCTTCAACATTTGGGTTTGGTATTGAAATTTTAGTTTATAAGGCTTCAACATTTGGGTTTGGAATTGAAATTTTAGTCTATAAGGCTGAATCATACATTCTGTTTAGTTTGATAAAAAAAAAGAGCTATTGTGTATGGACATGCTAACATGAAATAATGGATGTGATGCGAATCTTGAATTACAGAACACAAATTGAGACTTTAAGATGAGAAAGTGGTCCTATTGTTGTACAATATAATTAATTTTTGTCCCACAAAATTAGCTGGGCATCAAAGTGAAATTCTGCTTCAGAAATATCTAAACTATCGCTATCACAGTTCTGTTTTAAACAATTTTACCAAACAGAGACAACATAGTTATTTTTCCAGAAACAGCTGTTCCAAAGCTATTTTCACACAGTTGTACCAAACAGACAGCCAACTTCCCTGCAACAGCTTCCCCATAGTAGCTTCTTGGGGCAGCACAGCTGCAGCTGAAAAGCTGAGAAGCTACAGCTGCGCTAAACAGAGCCTTAATTGATGACATTAAAATTGAGGGTATTTTCTTAAATAGGATCTTAGAAATTTTATAAAATCTAATAAATGACCTTTTTTAAAATTTGGGATATTTTGTAGAAAATTTATATTAATTGCTAAAATTTATAAATTTAATATGTATTGTTTTTATCACTTAGTATCTAAGAATGAAATAATAAATATTAGGAATTTTACATATAAATTAAATCCCAATTAAGTAAATTAGGGATTGCTGGGAGGGGCCCAAAGTTATAATTACAGATGTCAGATAATAATGAGATTTTTGACTCCTGATATTCAAACGAGGATGAAATCTGGGAACTATTAGGAGTAGACACAAATGGAAAGTAGAGAACTATTGTTTGATGTTGGGTGGGGGGGAGGCTATTGATAACTGCTATGTTGAGAGGGGCTCAATCTTTATCAATACTTAATATAGTATACGGGCTGAGTCACGACCCAATGATATAACATAACATGAAAATAGTTGAGACCTATATAATTATAAGTGATATTTCTGTGATTTCATTGATGACTCTTATGAATATGTTTATGATTACAAATGAATGGATGAATTATATATTTTATAAAGCTGTCATGATTTTCTGCATTACATGCATTTTCTCTTACATATTTTATACGATTATAACTTGTTGTGACATGTGTTTTAGACATGTAAAGGAGTTGCATATTAACCTGCACATTTCTTTTTTATCTATAAAATTTTCCTTTAGCTTTGATATTTTTGCTGAGCTCATTATTAGCTCACTCCATGTTGACTTTTAGGAAGGAGAGCAGTGGGACGTGTAGGTAAGTATGACTTAAGCAACCTTTACATTATAATTTTGGGAGCATGTACAAACTTTTGAGATATGTATTTTTATTTTTTTGGATTTAACAACTTTGTATTAATAGGTTTTTGCATTGTTGTAGAAATCTCATTATGGACAGAGGTTTTGTCGGAATGTCTGTAGGTTGATTATGAAACTTAATGTGGAGAACTTCAATCACTTTAGAGTGGTGTGTTCATAAATAAATTGATAGTCTATCTCAATATGCTTTTTTATTGTCTGAAAGATTGGATTGTTTGCGATGGCCATTGCTGAGATATTGTTAAGTTGTTGGTGTGCTTTTGATGGATTGAGGTCTTGAAGGAGATGATGAAGCTAAATTATGTCTGTTGTAGTTGGAGCTAACTGTCATGGACAAAAAGTCCCACATCGACTAGGTGTAGGGCCAAAAAGCAGTATTAAAGTCCTGAGCTGCCCACCACCCCTAAGAGCTCTTTTGGGAGGTGACAAGTAGTATCAGAACTGATTACTGCCTGTTATGTGTGTGGACTCTTCATGGTCCAGTGGGACCCTCGGTGGAGCTGATCCATGATGAGGGCGTCACGTGATTGGGTGGAGGAGAATGTCACGGATAAAAGGTCCCACATTGATTAGGTGTAGGACCAAAAAATAATATTTAAGTCCTGGGCTGCCCACCACCCCTAAGAGCTCTTTTGGGAGGTGACATAACACTCTATATTTTGCTTCTGTCAATGATTTATCAACTGATGGTTGCTTTTTAACTGACCATGAAACAAGTGTGTTTCCAAGATAAGTTCAGTGACCAGTTGTGGATTTCGTATCAATTGTTTTGATGGCTAGTCAAAGTCGGAGAATGTGTGCAGAGTGAGTTCTCTGATAAGATGGAAGTCCATAGCGTCATCTTCTTGATATATCTAACAAAGGCTTTTTAAAATCTGGAAATGAGAGTTTAAAGCGTGGTGCATATGTTGGCAAAGGATGTTAACAATGTAGGCCATATTTGACCTTGTTTTTGTTAGATATTGCAAAAAGCCTGTGATTTGTCTATTAGTGGTGGAGAAGGGAAGTCTTTGATGGAATTTGTCAGGGAGAGGAGTTTGGTTTAAATGCGTGTGGCTAAGGGCTTAAAGTCAATCATGTTGGCTTTTTTTGACACCAAGAGCATATTTTTCTTGGCATTAGAATATACTCGTTGTAGGTGTGACCTGGAGTCCAAGGAAGAGAGAAATTATGCCATGAATCCTCATTCGAAATTGGGTTTATAAATTTGTGAGCAGGGACTGGATGATACTGGTGTTGTTCTTGTGAGAAATTAGTTATCGACATAGATCAAAGATTAGAGTTGAACGCTG